TGTGTTTGGCCTCGTGCCAACCCGGGATGAGCCCGCAGAGTGCCTCCAAGTGTGTGTGTTTGTATATCTCTGACCCGTATATTTGTCTCTCATGGTTGTAACATTGTAGGTTGGAGACGTTCCAGACTAGGCTCAGCTTGAGCCCTCGGCTGCCCATGTTTTGCATGCATCAGCATAGGAACTGTTGCAGCATGACTTTGTGACATGTAACGCTTGTCCAGCGCTAGTCTACATTAGAGTGATGCTTGCTGCTTGCATCCGAAGACCATTTTTTCATCACATGTACTGCAGGCAACGGCTCGTTAAAAACCTGAACAGCTCAAGGGTGCTTAAGACATGTGCGGTGTGGAGCTGATGCATTGGTGTTGGCATTTCATTGGATTTATATAGTTCAATTTGTGCATCACCCTACCTGCATCTCATCCGGCTGCGGGCGCAGGCGCTGGTGCACTGCCCTGACATTCGAACAACAACATGAGACTCGAAGGATAGGGACAGGGATACAGTCGAACAGTCGAACAAAAGGGCGCTGCATAAGTTGCATGGCTTAAATTGATCAGCAATACAGTTGTGGTGTGGCTTATGCCGTTAAAAGCTCAGGTGATCCCAATACAACTGTAGCTTCTGAACTTTGCCACATCAATATGACTCGAAACGAGCTGGCCTCATGGAGGTTGACAAACCTGATCAGTAATATTCACTGGTGTGGTCAATGAATGCAGTGACCGAATGTCTGTGCAATTCCGGGAGAACTACAAAGGACTTATGAGGAGACTTTTGCTGGAAAGCAATCACCACGGCAATGTTCAATCTATTGCTGCCCACTCTTTGGCAGGCTGCAAGCAAGACTGGATAGCAAGACTGGATCCCTACTTGGAAGCTGATTATCAACTTCTGACAGAACAATTCATCAGAGTTGAAGCCACGCAAGCTGCTTGTCCAATCTTATCCAGTCCAATCTTCGGCTGCTTTTGACGGCTTGTTCTTTAGCAACCATGTGTTGCGCGTCACTGGCGGCTTCTCCGATTTCCTCAGCTCACAAAAACCAGACTTTGTGCGAGTGCAAATCACCTTTCATCTGTTCAGGTTCAGATTTGCTCTCAGGTCTTTGAAGTCTTTTTTTTTGTGTGCCACGCTAGTAGTAACAAGTGCCTTACTACTAGTAACAAGAAGCTACTAAATCATTGGGCAATTCAGGCAACCTGAGCTTCCTGAGACGCCCACACTCCTACTAAGGCCGCACGTCCCTGTCGCACATGATTGTTTTGGTCGACGCGTTTTTGCTTGATTGACGGCCTCAAAGTTGTTTGGCAGCGCCAGTCGAGTTAGAGACTGCAACAGGTCAACCTCCAGTCGCATCACTGACAAAGGAAGAGGAATCTGGACAACGATGCGCAAAGGACTCAAAGGACCAATTCAGGCACACATGTGCTAACTTGAGCTTCAGCTGCTCAGGGTTTGACTTCTTATGGCTCACTCACAAGTTACCATAAAAGGCAGCGCTCAAGACAATATGAGAAAACCAACCAAGACATCAATCACGTATATATATATATACACATATTATATATACATATAATTCCGTATAATCACATATATGTACATTTCATCCCAGAGTAGTATCCATCTCTTTTGCCTTGCGGCCAGTGGCGTTCGCCAGCTCCTTGACCCCGCTGGGTCCAGATTGCAAACAACATGCTTTGGCTTTGGGCTTCAAATGATGCAAAAGGGTCTCTCAGCCGCTCACCGCAAAGCGTTTCGGCCCCAAGCGTTGCAAGTGTCCAGGCTTGGCACCCTGAGTAGCGCATTGGCAGCACGGAGTGTTTGGCTGCCAACCGGCAGATTCCTTCTGATTAGCATTCAAACAAGTCAAGCCTGTATGCAGGAATTCAAGGCATTTCACGGGAAGCGTTCTATCTGCAAAGCAATACATTTGCAGTAGGCCTCCTCCCAAAAAAGGCGCATCTGCATATCCTCCACTTCATCCTGATGAATAGAACTTTGCAAACATCTTGGATCTTGAGAGGCAACCCCTTCGCAAAGCTGATGTTGATTGATTTAGCGGCATAGTTACAACAGGAGAAGCTGCTCCAAGCGTGACTCTAATCTTAACCAGAATAATAACATAATGATAACATCCCGCGAGCATGTCAGCATCTCAATCTACTGGCTGCTCACAATGTGTTGCGAAGTTCAAACAATCTTGTTGGCCTCAACATTCAGCTGCCTCGATCTGCCTTGCATCGATGCTGCTCTCAGTCAATTTCAAGGAAGTCTAAATCCATGTGACTGAAGCTGCTTTGAACTGACGGTACGTTTTTTCCTATTCTTACTGAACTCTATTCTCGGTCCCAGTGTTATTTTACACTTCAGAGTCTCACCACCTCTTTCACGCAAGCGGCGCCGCTCTTCTCTCGCCCATTTGGAGGCTCCACAAGCGCATGCAGTGAAGAGCACAGCCTCAGTCCCGGTGTGAAGGCTCCAAACTTCAATGGAACAACTGCAAGGACTCACAGTCTTGTGAACGCATTGATAGACAACAGGTCCTAGGTTTGCGCAAAATGCGACTGACAGCTGTGTGAAGCTTCTCGATTCAACCTTTTTGTCCGCTTACATACGTATTATGTTATAGTTACATGGAGAACAAAATTGTCGTTCTCCGTTTCCCTTGGATGACCACCTCAATAGCACCACCTCGCCACTCATCGTCCACGTCCTCAGTGCAAGTCATCAAGAGTGGGGAGCTTGCACATCATGTAGAGATCATCATCTCAAATGTACAACAAAGGAGGCCACCTGGGATGGCTCTGGCAAAAGCAAGGGATCCTTGAAAAGAATGAGGCGCACATCTTGCACCTTATGGAACAATGCAAACCACGGCTGGGTCCATTTTTGATAAGGTTTGACAGAAGTTAGAAGTGTATTCGCTGAAAAAACCACCATCACTGAGCCCACCGACGCCTGCCTTCTCCAACGATGAAGCCAAGGCATTGGCAATGACACCTTCGATGGTCTCAAAAACTCTACTCGATTCCGAGAGAAAGTGACCCCTGAGGCTGCCAACGGCTAAACGACCAGGCCGCCAGTGCTAAAGGCTCTCCTTCCTGAGCTCTTATATGTTGTAACGAAGTGTGCGCTCAGTGCGACTGTATATATATATATATATTATAGAAATATGTTCAAACAGAGAGGACATCAATAGCCCAAAGGCTAGGCCAGCTGAGCTGCTCTGGTCCCACATTCCAGCTGAGGGCTAAACCACTACATCTGCATAGATCATGCGATGCGCATTGACCTGAAGTCTGGAAGCAAGTTACTATTGACGGCAAATACAGTGACGGTAAATACAGTGAAGGCGGATGCACAATGACAAATAATCGATGCTATGGAAAGTCCAAAGAGCGGTAGTGTTGTACGCTTTGTCTGAGCGCCGGGCCCTGCGTGTGTACAGCCTCACCAGCTCAGCCAAGCTTTTGCATCTGCAAGCTTCCTGCGATTTGCCACATGAAGAGCACAATGGGTGCGAGAGAAACTTCCTTCAACAACCCTCAGCTGAAAGAAACGCTTCACCCCCTTCGCCTCATCAAAAATCAAAGAGCAAACGGTGCAAGGTGCCAAAGCGGCAGCAAGTTCTGCACGTTTCTCTTGCACCTACAACAGCAAATATGTCTGAACATATGCTTTGCTGAAGCTGCTTCAGATTCAAACAGCAAGCTTCTTCTGCCTTCTCCAAGCCTGCTAGCTCCTCCGCTTCTGGAGGGTGAGCATCCCTTGACAGCGAGAAACATTTCAACTGAAGGCGACAAAGTGCGTTCAATTGACTTACGCTATCACTGCCGCAGGCACTTGCTTTTTGTATCTCTTTATAGATGAGCTCGGCGATCTAATTAATCATCTGGACACAGGTGGATGATTTCAGAGCTTGACTGGGCTCCACGCACAAGGAATACTCGTGGGCCAATGCCCTGTCGAAGTACTTTCACCCCAGAAACCTTGGCAATCTTTTGTGGGGAAAGACCAACAGCCGCTCTTCTACGATCTGGGCAAAACTTGATGGCTGTTCTGTCTGAAAAGAATCTCAGTCACCCACAGAAGCGGAGAGCTGTGAAGGCACTTGAGGTGGCTTGGAATCTTCGAGACGAGCCTTCATCCCAGCTTCGTCACTGGTAAATACTGTATATTATCCAGCAAGGTTGGGTTCGGAAGTGTTGTTAGATGTAGCCAGGGGGTACAAGGGGTAATTGAGGACCTTGGGACTCAAGCCTACTAGTACTAAGTACGGGCATGTAGTGGCTTGAATTGAACGGGGATCTGAGATTCAAGACTCAAGACCCAAGGCGTACATAGCAGCATCAGGCATCAAAACAATCTTGTGCCCACAAAGTGCCTTTTGCTTTTCTCTGGGTCTTGACGGCTTGGCTTTGGATGGCATTTTCTCAAGGATTGGCACAGGCGCCTGTCACGAAGAGAACAAGCACGCACACTCATTGTTCTTGCCCTACCAGATCTTGTACCACCATTCTCTTCATCATTCTTCATCATTATCTCATTTACCCGCACAATTCCTGATTTCTTCTACATTTTTTGCTCAGCTCGCCTGTGCTTCCACCAAACCAACCACAAAGTTTGCAAGATCCCCAGCATTCTCCATCTCCTGTGGCTATGACAATTCCCGCAGTATGGAATTTACAAAACTGGCAGCTGAGGACTGAAGAGATCTCAAGAGAAGCATTACACAAGCAATAGAACGCAAAAGCTGTCCATCCAATCGGTGATGTTCATCACCACCCCGAAGGATGCTTGGATGTTATTGATCACAAGCCTTGGTGGCGGAGCAAAAAATCCAGACCGAACATACTTCAAACAATGCGAGCAACATGGACACGCAGCTCTACGATGTCTTCATGTAATGCAAAGTGTCTCGATGTGTCTGGAGTCTTCTGTCGAATGATCAAATATCCGCCTATCCCCCTTATTTATGCAAGCAACGTGGACCCGAGTGAGTCAATACCGTCAAGCAGCGCAGTGTCCAAGCACCTTGGTCAAGCATAGAGCTTACATGGTCTGGATTGGCTGCATGCCTGTGGCCATTCATTTACATCGAATTGGAGCTGCCAAACTCAGGAACCTGATCATTAAGACCTGTAACCGAGTGGCGTTCGTGAAATGACCCGCTCTAGAAAAAAAAACGAATGCTTGGGGCACCCAGTTGTTAGCACTTCATGCAATCCATTCGTTGAAGTTGCGAACTAGCTGCATACTCTCATCTTCATCCGCCACCTGAGCAAGCTCCGTGAAACTGCAAAACAAACTTTGTCGTACCACCCGCATCTAGTGTGGCTGAAGCACCTCGTTCAAGATGGACAGCACCTCAAACAAAAAGACTCAACATCTCACTGAGTTGTTGCTAACTTCGTCATCGTGAGACTGAACAATCCTTCAAACCTTCAGGAGGTCTAACTCCTTGACCCTCACCTTCTCAACGATTTCAAGCCGGCTTGGGGATGCTGGAGATGGAGATGGCTCTTCATCCTCTGCCTGCAAAGATGCCATGTTCTGCCGAAGTCTGTGCCCTACAAGCATAGTTCTCTTGCACTTGTGTGCAGCTTGAAACTTGTCAATTGTCAGCAAACCTGCACAATGCCGCATCAAAATCAACTGCACGTGAGTACGGCATGTAGATTCATGTAGATTGTTACAGTTCAAAGAATCAAGGCAGCGAAGCTGAAACAGGCCTCTCTGTGTTCGTCTTTGACTGCGCGCCTTCGACCTCACAACTCGCCAAATTTGTGGCGAAACAACCTAACTGAGCGTCTCTAGACTTGATTGACTGGATTCTGGGGCACTAAGTTCTGTCAGGTCTGAATTTAATGCTAAGCCAGTCTTCTCATAGTCATAGTGCAGCAAATGAAGTAGATTGTGCAGTTACCGTAACACAAAGCAAGCCGTGTGTCATCCTAGGCCCTAGACGTGTCTTGGTGCGTTGCGGTTGAGCGGTTGGTGTGGGAAGCTCCTATAGGCATCTGTCAACATGACGTGGGAAAATTAAAATTCCATAAACATCTAGGAACCAAATCATTAATGCGAGCGCTTCTTCAAGGAAACTTCCCCACTTGAAAGTGGGGGGGTTTCCTTGAAGAAACGTGAGCTATCTAGCGTCCAATTACTAGAAGCTTAAATAACTTGAGTAGCTAGAAACTCACTCCCTTACTTAGTTAAGTAGGCGCCTACTTAATGAAGTAAGTCAGGAGGCAGGGACTAAAAGAACACGATATATAAAGATAAAAAACAAAAACTGAAACCTGAGAAGGGAGGGGACGAAAACCAGCCCTTGTAGAGACTGGGAACAGCCAGAATTTTTTCTTGACAGCTACTTGGGGAGTCCTAGACAAGTCCCAGAACATAGCACTCCTTTGCTGGTGCCCTTTTTGCCTTCCCCGAAGCCATGACAACACCACCTGGATGCGGCTTGGCCCACCATCTTTTGGACCACGTAGACTACGGCGGAGCAGTTGAGGTCTTTCAAGTGGTAACACTTGCCTGCAGGCTGCTGTCTTTACAGCTGACCGTCCAAGTTTGCTGGGGAGAACCATACACACAGCTAGACCGAGCGCCTGGCCAGTTTGTGATGCTAATGACGCACTATAAAGCTTATAAAACTTGCACGACCCTTGGCGTAGCGGCAGAAAGGCGATAAGTGCAACACACTTCCCTTCTCAGTTCGATAGCACGCGTCACGCATATCGAGCCAGTCTGCAACACAGGCGGGAACAGCTCAGTAGCCTCAACGCTCACATCTCTTGTTCGTCTTGTTCGCTTCTTCTCAAACTGCTCAACTGGCGCGTTTTGACTACATTTTGTCCACCCTTTTTTTGCTCTCCGCCACCAGGCTCTGGGTTCACCCTACCCGAAAAGCACGACCACGCAACCACCCCACCCCCACACCCCCTAATACTCATTTTGTTCGCCCATCAAGCACTTCAGCATCGGCTGGCTTTCGTAACAAACAGATTCTGGGCAGCATGGAGCCATGACTGCATTCTTGACCACCCTGTCAAGTCATCCAGATTTGGCTGCACCCTGGTGTGTTGCTGGTACGCGGGGAATCGGTGCTATCAAACCACACTATGCAGTCCTCCATCACACGGTTGACCACATCAGAAACACGCTCCATCTCCTGCGTACGTTCGAGCATGCAAGAGTCATGCGAGTTTCAAACGCAAAAAACATGGTATATTACGTACAACTCTGTGACCAGGCTGCTACATCTTGCAACATTGCAAAGCAAAGCGACTGGGAGGTTCTCTCCATCCAATCAGTCACGGTAATGTTCACTCCCAGCTGCATCTGGATGTTATTGATAACCTCGCAGGCTTCTTGCAACCCACTCTGCAGTAAAAAGAATGTAGTCATGTGATCCTTGACAGGATTTCACGGCACCCTTCGAACATGCAGTGCGCACCACTCACTTCAACGGCCTGGTGCTGTCCACTCTTCCAAAATACGTTCAAACAGTACTGCGGGTCTCCTATGGGGCTTTCTGTAGTCCCCAGACTCGTTTTGGCAACCCCAAAGATGGTTGGTTTTTGCTACATGACCATTCATTGATATACAAATGATACGCCCCAAAGCTGGGCAGCAGAAAGGTCTGAAAAGTACAGTCTAAGATGCTCACCAGAGTTGCACCCAGGGAATCAATACCATCCTTAGTACGTTCCAAACTCCTGGAACACTTGAGATGTATGTTCTTTCATCATGTTGAATCCGCTTCTCCTATTGGTATGTTTGGTAGTTTGGCTCGTAAGAATGAACTAAAAATACTCTTGGCACGATCAGCTACCAAACATCCAGGAAACTAATTAATTGAGATTAATGGCGTTAGTTGACCTTTCAATTCCAAAGCCGTGCTAGTCCCTGCCAAGGTCTTCACCATCAATTCAGAATCCAAGGTCAGGTTGTCCTCTGCCACCTTGCATCAATGGCATCACTGTCTGCACCAACATCACCAGAGAGAACCTTTAGATAGTGTTCATACGCTTACATTCTGCACTCTGCTCTAGTCTAAAGGGTTGCTGCACATTGCACAAAATATGTGACACGCTATCAAAATGACCGAAGCTTGGATGAATGGCGTAGCCTTTCTGTTTTCAGCCAAAAAGATCTAGCTAGCGCCCCACATCAAACCCGATCCTCCGATGATATATTTTGCTCTGCTGCATCAATGGCACTCTAGATTCTAGATACGGGAGCCTGGGAGTGGTCTACAGGGCTAGATCGATGGTCTATAAGTGATTCGAACATTCAGAAAAGAAAACAACGATTTGGAGATTGACAAGAGGTATCGGCAAAGCACTTGGAGGTGCTGACCTGCCGGATAGTGCTGACAGACCAAAATATAGGGATTCAAATTGATGAGTGAGATCCGAGACAAAGTATCAAACACATCAGTTCAATCATCTACTTTATCTTTATCATCCAGGAAATTTGTGGTATACGGTATACAGGTTGAAGTTCGGTTGAAGTGATGGATCATCTTGTTTCAGATTGGTGTTGCTCCATCAGACTTGTTGCTCATGTCTGCTTGTCAAATGTGTTTATTCGCAGTCTAAACAGCCACATCATGAACCAAAGAGTAGCACAAAAGCAGTTTGCCGATGCAAGCACGATGCAAAGGTATACAATGGCTGAATAAGACTTGTATAAATAATTGCTCCATTGCAATCCTGAGAGGGTAAAGCGAGGCAAAATTGTTGTGCATGCATATCGGCATACCCCGCGTGTTTACTATTCACTATTCGGTCTTTGGCAGCTAGGTTCCATGGTATGCAAGCGATGCGTTGTTCTTCGACTTGCTACTTTCCGTCGGCTCTACATTTTCAGGCGACCTTGAACAGCTTTACTTTGGCCTTCAGTGCCCACGAGCCTAGTGTCCTGATTTGAAGCGTCACAGTTCCCTCAGAGGTTCTTGGTGCCTTATGAATTGTCTGGGCACTTTGAAGCTTTTGCGGCAGGCAGCGGGTCTCTTTTGAGCCATGTGTCTCAAGCAGGCGCCTTAATCGTCTTAATCTCATGAGTGCGGGTGGTCCTAGAAGCCACTGTAGTCCTGAGGCTTTCACAACGGTACATGTCCATCCTAGATTTCTATCAAAATCCAGGAACTGATTGGAGTCCAAGGTTGCTGTTTTCTGCTTTCCCACCTAGCTTTTATCACCAATTGAACCGTTCAGGATGAGGCTTCAAATCAGCTGCTTCCGAGCGAATTCTGAAGTCCTTCGTCTCTCAGCAACTCACCTCAGAAAGGATGGCGATCACTCTCTCTGGCAGCTCCTAGCACGTCCAGACAGCACCAGGAATAAAAAACATCTCTCTTCTTTGGATATTCTGACGCTTGGAAGGAAGGAAGAAAGGAAAGGAAGAAAAATGAACAAAGAATGATTCATCTACAGTAAATGTTCAGGGAAGACACAAAAGACTGGAAACAGTACTATATAAACTAGACTCAAACAACTTCTCGTCAGTTCAACAACTCACAAAGCCTCTGCAGCTGAGACAGGGAGCGCCACGAGATCCTGCATAGCTATCGGTTCACTTCCTTGAGCCTCTCGCGGTGGGTTTGCGCTGTCCTCCTCAGATTCCGACGTCTCTTCATCCTCCGGCAGAATTGTTTCGCTGTTCAGCTGTTCAAGGCTCAATGTATTCGGACAAATTGAAACATCCCTGTGTACAGGTGCACCTAAGGTTTCGCCAGTCACGATGGACTGGCATCGCAATTCTGTCAAGAGTTGAAATCACCCTGTGCTCCTCAAGTTCTTCGTACCTGCAATGCGATCAACTGATTCACAGCATAACAATTCTGAGTCTTGCGGCCAGTAAAAGGAGGCCAAACATAAAAAAAGAAAAAGCCGCGGTCCGTGGTGGAGCACTAATGCCCAGCCTGTATGGCGAAACTGCTAAAAGCTTTGTAGCCTCTGAGACAGAAGCTGGCCATTCCTGAAAGCAGCGGTGAATCTATCTGATTGGAAGTTTATCTGCGTTTCTAGCAAGTTGCTTTCAGCCAAGTTTAACAACACTCCAACTCATGACCGTCCTTCCAACGGACAAACTCGACCCCCTCGTAAGAGACATAAATTCGGCCATCAGGTAGAAAGCCATCGCCTCGTCTTCGAACGCAGTGTTGGCCTCTCCTGATTCCTACATTGTCTTTTGCCTGAGATTCATACTAGCAAATACTCCCGGTGAAACTGAGTGCAGCACCGTAGTCCAATGGAGAGCTGCTCAAGCCAGCATCCATGTTGTGCTAGATTGTCATCGATGACCGTTCTTGCCCTTTCCATCTTTTTTGTGGTTGAGACAAGCTGTCATCCTAGATACGGCGAACATCGATGTCCATTCTAGGAATCCAGTCCGTGTAGTCTTGGCTACAGGTGCCCTTACAGTGGCCAATCTGTGCACCTTGAAGATGAAGAACGATATTGCTATGATTTTGCAGAATCTGCCCTGTCCAAAGAATTTGCCAACAGTACCGTCGTTGGTTGCGGTCCCCGATGCATCTACCCTCGTCATACGCGTTTGAAGCTGAACAGCCAAAAACAGTCAAAGTGCAAACTGGTGCTTTGATGTATATAGAAACCTATGCTGCCTATGCTACTAGTAACAAGTGCATCGCTTCTAGTAACAAGTGCATTACTACTAGTAGCAAATAGCTACTAGTAGCTTTGCTACTAGTAGTAATGCACTTGCTACTGGTAGCGATGCACTCTGTTACTAGTAGTAATAGTGCACCTGAAGCATAGAAATCAATTAAATGTGCACAAACGTGCTTCATTATCCTGGCATTGTAGATGTCCATTCAGGGTCCATATAAAGTCTGTTGATGTAAGCCGGGATGCCCCTGGTTTGAAACAAAACGCACGCACAATGTGTGGCCTCGCGGCTGAAAGCTGCGCGTAGAAGGTGGCTCTTGCGAGCTCGTGTGCCTGTTTGGCTGCTGCAAATTGCAAACAAGTTTCAACCTCTGAGCAATGCCAACATGGAAGTCGGAGTCGGAAGCATGTTCTTCTAGGTACTTTTTCTGATTTCCCAGAAGGCTGGGTTGCCGTGTTTCAGCACACTCCGCCCAAGGGCTTCCTTTGTACAAGCGTGCAAGCTGCAAGTTGCTTCGCTTGCGCTCTGAGCTTTGCTTGTCAGAACCGTTTAGACATGTCGATAGCTCCTGATAGCTCCTTTCTGACTTCTGGAGGCTTATCCGTAGTTTAAATGTTCTGACAGGGACATGTGACTTTGACACGTCTCTATTTTTTCTTCGACCTGTGGCTTTCTCTTGTACCAGGTCGTGAGGATGATTGTTTGCTGAGGCCTGACCAAATAGCGAAAGGGAAGGAAGCTTCAAGTGTACATGCACTATTATCAGTAATGCTCACATAATAGTAAACTACGAGTCAATTACAAGCATAAAATTTGCCGGGCCTCCGAAACCATACAATGATAAACTACGGTCATCTACTGTCAATAATAAACCCGATCTTTCAGGTTATTTCTAAAAAACAAAGATCTCTAGTCAATTATCCCTTGCACAGACCGGTGTTGCACACAATTGCAAGCTGCTGTTGTAGACATCTGCAAATCAGGAGCGCACCACTACGCTTGGAGGCTTTGGAGCTAGGCCTGTCACAACATGCCAACAAAATCTGCCAACAACACCTTCTGTCGGCTCTCTCTTGCATTGATGGGATGAATGGCGTTGGCTGATAGGTTCACAGTGCAGTGCAAGCACAGATCTTTTCTGCACGGAGGCCCCAGCAGCTCCCAAAGAAACTCTTGCTCAGGGCTCAATATATCCTCAGGCTGGTTGGCAAAAAGTATCTCCTGTCCTTCAGGCAATATCCTTGGCTACTGCAGACTATGTGGAAATTAATGAGTCAGCAAGAAGCTCAGAAAAAGAGTTTGGGCTTGGACACAACACTGGCTCAAACCATTCCAACGTCGGTTCTTGAGCACAACTTGGTATGGACTCGCTTGTACTTTGCAGGCTGAGCTGCCATTTTGCCCCTGCTTTGAGGCTCCACTGAAACTGCAGCATCCTTGGAGACTGGCGACAGTGAATGTAAGATAGGATTGGCCGAAGGCAGTCTTGGTCTTCTGGACCATTCTAGGATTTTCATGGATTTTCTAGGTCTCTGTCTGCAAATTGGGAACTGCTTGTTTGTCCAAGGCATCTCCAGGTGAAGCAATGGTCCATCCACCGTATCAGGTTGCACCTCATCAGGAAATTGCTATGCCAATGAGCACATCACTTCTGCAAAAAGAAACGATGAACATGGAGAAGCTGTCAAAAGAACCAAATGATATGTGTGATGCCAAGTGGCATTGGTCTTACAAGGAAAGCGGTCACCTTTGACCACCGTGAGTGTTTCTGGAAGTGCCAACAGCATTGCGCTCCAGCTAATGTCGACATCTTTCAACGAGCTCCTCAGAGTTCAATTTCAATGCACAGCGCAGAATAGAAACTGGTGCCAAAATGTCTGAACTGGATGACCTCAATACCCTATCTTTACTTATATAATTACACCGATAGTACTCGTAACATAATGTTGCCAACATTCCCAACAACAGTTCCACGTCACTTGCCTGCATGACCACCGAGTTGCAAGCACTCATGTTCATCACCAAAGGGCAACACCTTCAATCTCTACATGTCAACACTGTATACATTATTCTGAACAGACGTGAACAAACCCCACCCAAATGAACTTGCCAACCCAATGGTAGCAAACTCGCCTCCACCCATATCAGAAAGCCTTGCAGTTCGCCAGAGCGATTCATTGTGAAGTTTGCTTGTCGTTCTTGCAGGAGCATAGGCTCCTCAATTCATGAACACACATCTTGCAAATGGTGCATACAATATTTACTATAGTAACACGTCCTGCTGAAGATAAAACTGTACACACTACTGTAGGTGAGAGCAAGTTCCTCCAAGTCGTGATGAACTTGCACATGCAAATCATAGACTACAAAAAAAGTTTCCTCGGGAAGAACCTCTATTAAAGTGGAGTGGAGCTTCCTCACGAAAGTTGTTGAAGTCGTAGAATTCCAGAGTCGCCACGTCAGACAAAGCCAGCCTTTCACAACCCTATGTGCTCTGCATTGTCTGGCAGTCCGGCACCCTGTCGTCTCCCTACAATTGACTGGATCTTTAGTCTTATAAAAAAAATACTTCATTGGAAAGAGCCTGTTTTCTAAATTTGAAAAAACATCACTCTTTCACTCTTTCACTGCTGTCTGAACAGGCGGCGTTTTGCGGCCCATACAGGTCCAAAAGAGGTCAGTCATGTCGACTGCCAACTCGCTACCAAGGATCGTTGCCGATCGATCGGAACTTCAACGGCCATAGTCGGGTCGCTCCCGGCCGTTGGCAAGCACGAAAGTCCGAAAGCTCTGCGTCTCGTGGCTCCACCAGGCAATTGTCTCTGCAGCCACCGATCTACTCGGTCCCTGCGGACCGGGGACCACCTAAGCGGCAAACACAAGCTCCAATGTGACAACACGGCCGAGCATGGTCTCTGCAAGCGGAACAACCTGTGTGCTTGGACATGTTGCAGAAAAAACCGAACAGCACGGTTGAACCATTTGAGCTGAGCCGGGAATTCATGTCCACGAAGTCTCTCAAGCCCTGGTAAATTCGGGTCACTCCAACGCTTCGAACTGGAGTTATACACAGGGCCAACTTTGCCAAAGGTCAACTGATAGTCCAGATACATCTGAGCCGGCGAAACCCAGCTGCCCCAGACATGTCCTGCGCAGACCTCTTGCAACCAAGCCCACAATCTCCGAGCTTGCTCCGACCCAAACAATTGTATGGCATCCCCTGGCATGACTGTCCCCGGGGGAAATGGAACACATTGCACTGCAGGTATGTGAGTGTCTGGGGGAGCGGCAACCTGATCCGGGCTCACGGATGTCTTGCTCAGTTTGATAGACTCCTCACCAATAGCAGTGCGGATCTGTGTGACATAGTGTCCAACCGCTTCCAGATGTTGCAGTTGACCCAGAAGCCGATTCCAGGAGGTCCAAAACTCTGAAGGTCGTTGCACATTGAAACTCTTGGCCAGCTGATCAACGATGGTGTTGTTGTAAGCCGCCCACTCTTCAACTGGTCCCGGGATTTGAGACCCGACATGCGCTGCCACTTTGTGCACTGTAATGGCATGATCACGTCGCAGCTCAACAACAAGCTGGTCCCAAAGGTCAGCATCATGGGCATTAGGTCGCCCAATGGATGGGTCGTCCAACAACATCTGCACCTTGTTGACAACGTTAGCGCAATCGGACCAAATGCGTGTACGACACCCTGCACGAATGCCGATGCGGACTGCTGCCAGAACTGCCACAATCTCTGCGCGGCCACTGGTCTGCCACAGTCCACGCAGAGGCCCCCCTGCCAAACATTCCGGGCTGCCATCATCTTCTGGAGACCTCCCCTGCACGACTGCCCAGGCTGCCAACCTGAGCCGAGGTACCTGAGGGAAAAGACAACTGCCATCCAGAGCATGCAGCGGGAGTTTCCAGCACATGAGTAGTGTCCGGAACTGCTTGTAACTGTTGGAGAAAAGGCAACTGTTCCTTCGGAGACGTCAGCCAGCAGTGCAGTTTCGTGCACGCTGGCACCTCCTCCCAGGCGGCTGCACGAATGGGTTGGAAGACCGGGCAGCACCAAATGCGATGATCTATGCTGTCCCTTGCACCACAATGTACACAGGCCTCACTGCCATCAGAAGAGGAATACTTCAGACCATCCTGAGTGAAGAATGTTCCAACATGTGCTGTTCGGACTAGGCCTTGCTGTATGTCCGGCAGGGATGAACTGACCCCTATGGACAGTTGGGCATCAACCTCAGCTAATCCCGCAAAGCCCTGCCTGCGTTGACACAAAGTGCCCACCATATGTTGCCATGCGAAAACCGCCCGAAACTCCAGTTCCTTCAGAGAAACCCTCCACAAACTAAAACTCCCGATGCGATCTCGCAACAGGCCTGTCTGGACATCCCAGGACCACTGGAGTCTTTGGCAGCCCCTAAACAAAACCCAAAGGGGTCCCGGAGGGAAGCAACCTTGTAGATGGGACAAGATCCAGTGCAAATCAATCTGTACCTCTTGTTCCTGCTGGAGCCTGCGAAAATCCAAAAGTGTGTGCCAAAATGCGAAAAACTCCGGATCATGTATTGGATGAAAATGCAAACCGAGGAGGAGCATGGCATTGGTGCCCGGCTTGTCCAAATGAAGACCCCGGACTGCTCCCGCTCTCAGCGATGCAAATTGCTGCTCCGTGATCCGTACAGACGCACATGCATGGAGCGCCCGTGGCCAAGCGGCCGTCCGCAGCGCCCGCAGCTTCTGGCTAAATGGAGCGCAGGAGACTCGCAAACGCCCCCACAACGGACCTAGAGCTTCAAATCTGGCAGCCTGCAAACCTGTGGTATGTCTACGGCCGTAGAAAACACATCCTCCCAAGTCTTTGGCCCAGTACTGAACTGGCAGGTCCAGCTGTTGCAACTGTTTCCGATGAACCCCATGCGTTGCTCAGACATATGTCTTACCCCAATCCACTTCTAATGCCATCATATCTGCAAAAGTCCGAAACTGGTCCACTGCATGTCGAAGAGCATCCGGATCCGGCGCTATCAACTCCCAATTGTCCACGTAGGAGGTCGGGCGACTTGCCGGGGCAGAGGAGCACATCCAGCGATCAAAGCCAATGGCAACTGCCGCCATCGCCACACAGGACAGAGCATCGCCTTCAGGGAAACCATTGCTGCCCATTACGGGTGGACCAACAGAGCCTCGCACCCGAAAATGCCGCTTCAACGGGATGACTGCTCCCGCCCACGCCCGAATCAGACCATCGGCCAGTCCCAAAGCATGGCATAGCATCCAGGTTGGAAAACGAGGGAGAACGTTAAAAGCTTTGACCAGATCAGCCACCATCCCAACTAGTGGCTTTGTGTAAATTTGTGCATGCTCCAAACGCCGCTGCAGAGTAAACAAAACTTGGCCAGCTGTCTTCCCGGGTAAATTGCCGATCACTTGCGGGCCAGCCAAGGTACCCAAGTGGCGTAGGGCTTGACGGGCTCGAAAGGTGCTCCAGACTCTGTAAACCATGGAAAGGACCGTGATCGGTCTAAACTGCTGGACACGAGTGGCCCCTGGGACCTTGGCCAAGGCTGTGATGATACCTACCAAAGCTTGAACCGGCCAATGACCACTTTGTTCTGCATGGTGACAAATATCAATCAGCTCCTGTGTCAGGCCATCCGGCAACTGCAGCAAATCCAGCCGGGCTCACCCCATCAGGCCCCGTAGCTGACTGCCTCTTCTTGGTTTGGACTGCACGTCGCCACTGATCCAGTGAAATCGGTTCAAACAGCATCTCAGCATGAGGGATGAGAGGAAGGACCTCTGCTTGAAACCTCTGCCAGCGCCCTGGAATCTGATCCATGCGCCGATGCCACCATCTTTCCCATTCAGCACCGAAAGCCCAAAACAACGAAGGCAAGTCACCCGTGGACTTCTCTTGACGAACGACGCTGCCAGGAGCGGCCCCCGAAACATCATCAAGCCAAAGCTTATCAGGGGTAGCATGGATAACCTGTCGCCGCTTTCCTGCCAAGACCAGTGGTACATCTCCGCTGAACAAGGTGTCCGTGCGTAATGTGATGGCAGATTCGTCATGGTCAACCTCTTCAACTTCTCCGGTAGTTGACTGGATCAACACTTCAACTGACGCAGCTTTCTCCGCTTTCAGGTCACGGAAGATGAGACATGGATCATGTACCCTCCGATGCTGGGCAGTGCGAATCCGTGTCCACTTCAACTGGTGTTCCAGGTTTCGAACACGTGTCCGGAAACTATCAAAGAAGGCGTAAGCTTCCTCATAGCCGGTGGGAAATCTGGCACAGACGAAGGAGCACCGGGTAAGCCAATCCCATGAAGGGACCACCAGTGGGTAAAACTCCCTCCAAATCCAGCCGCCTGACGAACTGCCTGCCACAACTCTCTCTGCTGGATAAGCTGTGCCGGAGTCATCTCCGGTCGATCCACCAACCTGCAATAGGCTTGGAGCCGGCGTAGTTGTCGGAACCAATGTGCATGTGGCTTGGAGGGACCAAAGTAAGCAGGCAACTCTTCCCCTTGGCGACTCTTCTTGATGGGAGGAATTTGACCAGTACGAACCGTGATCTCCATGGTGCATGCTCTCCCCCGATGAACCTTCAAACCTGGCGAACACTCCCGCATACCAGCTCGAAGGATTCTGGGGGTCACGTCCCGTCCCTTGCTGTGTAGAGAACGGCACGTCACTTGCCAAGGAGGCTGCTGAGGCATCCGCCAAAAGGATCGAGGAATTTGACTTCTCATACCAGTGAACCGCCCTACCACGACTGCATGGTCAGCAAAAAGGTCCTGGAGGATCTGTACGTCAACCAAGCAATGCTGCAACTCCGGGACAGGAACACCAAATCCGGCCTGGTTCGTGCTTTGCATGTCGACTGAACCTCATGGCCCCACCGAGAAGAGGCAACCTCTTGCAATTCGCGAAAGCCCAAGGCACGTAACTGCCGGATGCTTGGCAACTCCTCCTCAGTAGCATTGAAGTCTCCCATAATGAACCTTGGCCCAACTGCTTCCAGTGCAATGCGTTGGATAGCAAAATCAGTCAGCTGGTCCGTAAGCACATGGGGAGAAGTGCCATTCACCTGAGAAGCATAGCCATAGAGGACACCCCCTTGGACCCATACATCCTCCACGCAAAATCCAGCAACTTGAATGCGGGCCGTTTGCCAAACAGTCTCCGGAAACTGATGTTGTAAGCAGCGACCCGGGAAACTTGTCAAGAACGCAACCCCTTCATGTTTGCCCACCACCTGGGAGTGGGCTCGGAGCTGGATAGCCATGGAGAAGGCTCGTGAAAGGTGATCTCGCAAATTTCAAGCTTCTTCGAACTTTTTGAATTCCATGTGTGGACAGATGAGTCTCTGTCACCCCAAAAATACCTGACCCGACATTGTTCAAAAGCAGCTCTTTGCCCTGCAAACCTGTCGGATTCATCAACCCCAACTGCCAGCTA